GCCCGCCCCCGCCCCCGCCCGCGCCCCCGCGCCCCCGCCCCCGGCCCGCGCCCCCGCCCGCGCCCGGCCCGCGCCCGCGCCTCACCCGTCTGGCGGTCCAGGGCCTGCGTGAACTGGTTGATGGCCGGCGGCACCTTCAGCCGCTTGTAGAGGATCGCGCGCTGCCGCTGCAGCCGGATGTAGCGCGGCCACTTGACGAAGCGCGTCAGGTCGCGCTTGGGCTGGATGTCCTGACCTGCGGGGCGGCGGGCGGCGGGCGGTGGGCGGGCGGCCGGGGCCGGGCGGCGGGCGCCGGGGCATCAGCGATCTTGGTGGTGCGCGTCGTCACGCGGCTCAGATAGCAAATATCCGCTCACATCATCTGCGCCCGGCGCCGCGCCCCGCGCCCCGCGCCCCGCGCCCCGCCCGCCGCGCGCACCCACCGATGCCGAAGTTCTTGGGCCGCTTCTCGAACAGCGGGTTCACCACCTTCTTGGCCTCCTGCTTCTTCACGACGGCGGGGGCCGGCGCCACCTTCTTCCCCTTCGCCTTCTTCCCCTTCGGCTGCGCGAGACGCAACGCGCTGGGGCCGGGTCCGCGCGTCGCCGCCGGCCTCGGCGACCCCGCGGCCACGTCCGTCGGCGACACCGCCCACCGGCCGAGCCGGAGCCCGCCCGGTCCCCGGGCTGCGCGCCCCTAAGAGCACGGCGGGCGCGGAACCCACAGCCGAGGCCCCCGGGGCGGCCCCCAGGGTGCGGCGCGCCCCGCATTGCGGCGCTGCACTCCCCGCCCGGGCCCTCCTGCCCGCACTCCCGGCAGCCGCCAGGATGACACCCGGCCTGGGGCGTCCCTGCCGGGCCCCGCGGGGCTCCCCTAGCGCGGGACGGCAGAAAAAGCCCCGCGCAGCCCCGCGCTGAAGAGGATGGCCGCGGATAGAAGCCGGACCCCGGGCCGACAGAGCCCACCGCGAAGCCACTCACCATCTTGTGTTCCTGAGAGACAGAGACAGAGAGAGAGAAAGGATGGAGAATTGTGGGTAATATGTAGGCGACCTCGGAAATCGCGAGAACTGGCGCCTGCGCGGGATTTCGAACTTAAAGAGACAGGACTGCCCTCGCCAGCCTCCGGTCGGGGGCGGTGCCTCAGCGCGGCCGCTTAGCGGCCCGGAACCGGCGGCGGGGAGCCAGGCCTTCCGTGGGGGCAGCGCGCTCGTCTGCACCCCGCCGCAGCCTGCACCCAGCCGGGTCGCCCCGGGCTCTGCGGACCAGGTGCGGGCGTCGGGGCGGGGTCGCCATCTTTTCTCAGGTGTGACCCCCCCCGCCAGCGCCCCCGCTACGGAGAGGCTCCCGGGTTCCGAGTTCGGTCGGTCGGCGGCGTGCAGACCCCAGGCCGGTCTGTCCGGGGCGCGCGGCCGCGAGGCGCCCGGCGCGGGGCGGGGGGGAGGGTGGTCCCGGCCTGGAGCAGGGGGTGCGGCGGGGGCGGAACCCGAGGGAGGCCTCGGCCGGGGGGCGGGCGCTCGCAGGCCTCCGGCGGGCGCGCAGGGCGGGCCGCGGCGCTGAGCGGTCGGGCCCGGGAGCCCACGGTTGCGCGGGTGTGTCCCACGGCAGGCCGCGCTGAGGTCGCGGTTCTGCGGAGCCGGGGGCGGCTCCGCTCACGCCGGACCGTGGCTCCCAGGTGTCGCCGCCGCGCCGCGCCGCCGGAGGCCCCGCCATGGCCCAGCAGAGAGCCCTGCCGCAGAGCAAGGAGACGCTGCTGCAGTCTTACAACAAGCGGCTCAAGGACGACGTCAAGTCCATCATGGACAACTTCACCGAGATCATCAAGACCGCTAAGGTGGGGGCGCGCAGGCCGGCGCCTGACGCTCTGAGACCAGGGGAAGGGGGCGGCTTAGGGTGTGGCCTGCGGTGAGCTCGGTGGCCGCCGGCTGCGGTCAGGGGTCACAGGGTGGGGGTCTGCTCTCAGGGCGCAGGTGCTCCGTGCCTGGTGGTGACCCCGGGCAGAGAACGCACAGGCCAGGCCTTTGTCTGCTCGGGGAAAATATTGGGGAGGGCAGCAGGGGAGTGGGGAGTAGCAAACAGGGCAACGGATAAATATGCAGGCCAGCTGGTTAGGGACCCTGCTGAGATGGCCAGGCTGCCCTGTGCAGCGCCACGTAGCCCGCGCTCGGGTCTGGATGGAAACCGCACTTCTCCATGCCTCCGTTTCCCCTGCATTCTAAGGCCCCCCTGGTGAATGGGTGACTGTGTAAAGCGATTGATCGATTGATCGCTATGGGGCCTGACGCCGGCTCCGATGTGGTTGCTGTCGTGCGAGCGCAGTCAGGGAGAAAAGGTGGGGAAGGCCCCGCGGGTGGTGAGAACAGGTCAGGATCGGGTCTGCCAAGCCTGGCGGGCCGCCCCGCAGCAAGTGGAGGGGGTCTTGCGGCTGCTGTAGACCCGGGGGAACGGTTAGAGCTGTGAAGAAGCAAGCCAGCCTATCCGTAGCGTGCGCTCACTGTGTCATGCCTGTGTCATGCCGAGTCGCGAGAGCTACCATGTTCCATCACACTTATCCTTCACAAGAGCTACGTGGGCAGGTACTGCTGTCCTCTTCGTTTCTAGAGGGAGAAACGAGGCTCAGAAGGCTTAGTAACTTGCCAAGGTTATTCTGTTCACAGCCGTCAGAGCCAGGATTTGAACCCAGCAACCCAGCTCCTCACTTTAGGGTGCCCTGTCCCCAGCCTGGGCTTGGTAAGGAAGCCCTGTCCACATGGATGGGCGGGAGTGAGTAGCCTGCACTCGGGCCAGGCCAGGCAGCAGCACCCCAGGCTCCTCCATTTACTGTCGGAGACACCTGGGGTGCGCACTCCGAGCGGCCCCTGCTTCGGCTTTGCCCACCTGTAGACCCAGGATGGCGCTCCACAAGATCACTGTGGTTGAGCCCTTAGCATGGTGTCTGGCAGTCTGGAAAGCGCTCAGGAAACAGTGGCTCCGAAGACATACATCGTGTCTTT